ATCTTACGAGACATTTCAGCAGCATTCAATACATTGGCCCTTTCCTTCTTGAAATCCCTCAACATTCTCTTGGCTTCCTCCCATCTGTCTGGCCATTCTTTTTCAGACTCATTTGTGGCTCTTCCCAGATCATTTCAGGAATCCTTCTCCTATTCTACACTTTATTCCATTCCCTTGGATTTAAATTCCTCCTCTATGCTGCTGTTTCTCAAATGAATAGCTCTGGAATCCTCTTCTGCGCAGTGTTCTCTTATATCTAGTTGCTTGTTTAAAGATGAAAGGGAGAAATCTCTGGAGTGGTTAAGCTTTCAGGCTTTGGAGTCAGAGTCAGAAACATAGAGTTCAATACCAATTTTGTAACATATTTGCTGTGTCACCCTACAAAAGTTATGTGACCCTTCTGTACCTCTGTTTGTTCATTTCTAAATCAACATATCCTTTATAGGGCTTTTCTGATAACGAATGAATTAATACATTTAAGGTGCTTGAAAACTATGCCTGCCATACCGTAAGCATTTAATAAGTATTTACTAATTCTTTTTAAAAAAATATTCTTATCATTTATACTCTCCTCTTAGATGATTCATGGACATCTATTCAAATCAGAACTTCTGATTATCTCAGCAAATGACACTTTCTTCTCAGCTGCTTAAATTAGAAATTGACAGCTTCCCTAGATACCTCTCACACTGGTATCAATCATTATCAAGTCTTTATTACTTTAACTCCAATTCTCTCATAGACCACCCTAAATCAACCATACCTTGACTCTCCCTTAAGTTACTGTAATGCTTTCCAAATCAGTCTTCCTGCTCCCTCTTGTGCCCTTTTCTGAACTCATTCTTCAATACATAGCAACTAGAGTGACCTTTTTAAAGCATACATTGGATCATGTCACTCCTCTGCTCAAAATTCTTCATAGTTTCCCATTGGACAGAGAACAAAGTCTCATATTGTTGAGTGGAAGAGTCTGTGAGTTCATACACGACCTCATCCCTGCCAACCTTCCAACCTGTAGTCAGTCTTCCCCTCACTCAGTGGTTCAAGGCTTTCAAATGTTGCAAGACCTTTTCTACCTTGTGAATTATAATTTTGCCTCTAGAATATGCCTGGAATGTTTTCATTCCTTTTTTGAATTTTCACCCCTCCTTAGGGTTTTCAATAAATGACATTCCTCTAAGACAATTTTTCTGAACCTTAAATTTTAACTGAGGAACCCTCTGTTATCCCTTTTGTAATACCTCATTATTTACCATATGGCACTTACCAAAATTTGCAATCTGTGTGCTTATTTGCTTAATTATAGTCTTCCTGACTAGAAACAAACACTGTAATGACGGGGACCATATTTGTCTTGTTAATTGTTTCATCTCAAGTATCTGGCAGAGCATCTGGTCCATAGAAGGTGCTTAATCAATATTTGTTGAATTAATAAAGTGAATAAATCAACTGTGGCCAATATAAATAGTTAATAATCATTTCAATGATTAAATATAATTAGTCCTATAATTAAGACGTATATAAGTCACAAGACGTTTCTAAACTTTTTGTGTTTAAGTGATGAAATCTAGAATTGCGTGTTGTACGCAACTTCAATACTATTAAATTGTATTGTTAACACAATGGAAGATGATGTTAGAGGGGAAAGTACACGGACTTGCAGTCAGATCTGAATTTGAATCCTTATCTACCAGTGGTATGGCCTGGGGCAAGTTGCTTAACTTTCCTGAGCTTCTGTCCCTTCCTTCGAAAATGGTCATCCTAGCACCAGTTTATGTGGTTGTTGCAGCGAATTGAAATAAAGTAAATGGCTCATGTTAGTTGCTTAATGAATAAATGTTAGCTGTCATTTGCACTGAATAAAAGCTCTCTTTTGGCACTTAACTATGAAAAGGAAAGACATAGGAATCAAG